TTCAGCCTGGAGAAGAGAAGACTCCAGGGGGACCTTATAGCTGCCTTGCAGTACCTGAAGGGAAGCTACAGGAAGGCTGGAGAGGGACTTGTCACAGGAGTGTGCAGCGACAGCACAAGGGGAAATGGTTCTAAGTGGAAGGAGAGCAGGTTCAGACTGGATCTTGGGAAGAAGTTCTTCAGTACGAGGGTGGTGAGACTCTGGACTATACTGCCCAGGGAGGTTGTGGATGCCCCTCCCTGAAGGTGTTCAAGGCCAGGTTGGATGAGGCCTTGAGCAACCTGGTCTGGTTGAGAGGTGTCCTTGCTCTTGGCAGGGGGTTGGATTTTAGATGACCTCTAGGGTGGGTCCCTTCCAACCCCGGCCGTTCTGTGATGCTATGACTTATGCCAAGTGCTATTTAGAATTGGTAAAAAGCTATTCTCCCCCTAAAGTTCCTCAGGGAAAAAAAAAAAAAAAAAAATAAAGGTGGGACACTTCATGGCACGCAAAATAAAAACTACAACAAAGTTTCCTCGGCATATTATACCTGACTTGTATTGTAACAATGTACCTGAGGTTACTGAACGGTGACTTCTAAATTGTGACATCCTATTGTAAACCATGGTTACATCCAGAAAAAAAAAAGACACAAAAGATTTCCCAAAATATTAAAATAATTTAGTAATTTTGAAGCTTTCAAAGGTATTCTACCAAAATTCAAAACAAAGGCTCACTAATTCTCTAGGCAAGCCTGAAGACTGAATCAATATGTAGAGATATTAATGATTTAATTTCTTGTCTAGATTTAGCAAGCTCTTCTTTTTTGCTCCAACAACCATCACTGTCTTTGTGATTGTTTTATTTTTAGGCATCACCTTACAACAAAATATACCAGGTACAAAAACACAACAGCACAGTTAAAATTTTATTATGGAGAATGTTTAAGTGTTTTCTCTAAGTCTCACTGAGGGGGATGGAGAACACTTCCCTCAGAAATATCCATCTTGAACACAAAAAAAAAAAAACTTTAAATAGATTTTGTTTCTGAGGGCAAGGATGAATTAAGTAGTCATAGATTTTTGTCTCAGTTTTTAAATGGAATTTAGCTGTAAGCACAGATAGCTATGCTTCAGCAATTATTCAGTTCAGCAGAGAACAATTTGCAGGATTAGTCAATCCACATTAGCTGTGTCAACATCTGTGGGATTTGCATTGACAGCAATTCATAAATCTATCACCTGGAGTGCAAGAAAACCTCCTCACATCTATGCCATGCTAGAATACTATTCATGCACAGTTGTCATTTCCCCTCCTCCTCATGAACAAGTTGTTTTCTACTTAAAACATGCATTTCAACAGTAGTGGAATCTAAAGGGAAAAGAAAATGTAGCACTAGATGGATAAAAAACCCAAATCTTTCAACTTGGCTTCCCTTTAAAATAATCTGCTGAAGAATTGAAGTTTTTCTCAGGTGATGGTTTTCATATTATCAGACGTTAGCAACATCTTTGTATTAAACTTCAGGAAGCAGAGTCGTTACTGAAATATGTCAGAACACCCTTCCTGGGTATTTAAACTATGATTTTCCCCCAAGGTTGAGTCTCCTTGCAGTGCATGGAGGATTTCCTCATGGTGCCAAAAGAAGGGACTTGAAACCTGGATCCTCTGATCTGACCAAACAAACAAAACACACAAAGAAACACACAAAAAAACACCCACCCAGCACAACCCAAACCCTGAAAAATTCCTCTGCAAGATTTATGGTTTTTTTTTTTTAATCAGTTTACAAGTGTTGCATCCCTTTATTTTCAAGATACTTTCAAAGGTACTTCACAAACTGAGACAGTCAAGTTCAGAGAAATGCCTTACACAAATTTACCATATAAATCAACACACACTGCACATGAAATTCTGACTGCTATAAATTGTGAAGTTCTCATTGCATCCTGTATTTTGCCACCACAATCAAAGTTCAAGTTAACAATGGTCAACATTAATCCCAAATACTTACTGCTGTGACACTGCCTGAGGGATAGCTGGGTAGAAGATGGGAATAAAGACAAGCACATAGAGATATTTAACATATTTGGAGCTCAAAGTATAGGCATGATACTAGTTGAACAAATTCAGATGGAAAAAGCTGTTCAGCTTGTATCCTCCAGAAAGGTTCAGAACCAACTTACAGTTGAACTGCCTTAAACTGCCATTGTACTGAGCAAGACAGCTGTAGCAGGGGCCCATCCTAGAAATGCTTACTGTTTACCTATCCCATATTAAAAATGGAGGTGCAGTCAGCAAACTCCACTGATTGAATGTTTTTCCCTGTTTTGTGAGTTTCCCATGTGTTGTGAGTTTCATGCATCTGCACTTCAATAGTTTTATAGTTTCATCTTACCTTGCAAAGAAAACTGATGTTAAAACCAAGAGACTGTGCGTTTCTGGAGCCAGAGTTCATGTAGTTTCCAAGGAACAGGACTAACTCTAAGAGCTTACTAAAGCTTTCACTCTTCTTCAGCTCTTCACACGCCATGGTAACCGCCATAATGTCAGGTTTGATATTGTTTACGTGCTCTTCAAACATAAGCTTGAAAAGGATCCCATTGAGACGCGACCTCAACATTTTCACTGAACTCATCTACAAAATGAAAACATCAAATCAGAATATAAAAACCCAAAGGCTTATTTATGAAAAATAGCTTATTTTATGAAAACAACATTGGGTATTCCAGCAAGACTACAATTTCTGTATGTTTGCACTGTCTGTCTTGTATTTCCAGGAATCCATACCTGCCCACAGGTATTTTTCTCCAAACCACACACTTTAGCTGAAAAAAACTCAGCAAAGCAATACATGGAAAATAAGAGTGTATTCTGTGTTAAACCATCTAGCTTGACAATTCGAAACTCATTGCCAAAACTCTTCCTCCCAGCAAAGGAAACGTCAGCCAGTTCTACCACTTAACAAGAACCAAAGATCTGACTGAAGGTACACATGGCAAATGTCTCATCATATCTCAAATGGAGTTACCCTTGAACTCTGATATTTACCAATTTCTCAGTTTTAATTCCTTCAGAAAAGATTCAACAGTCTCTGAGGCGTGGATACCAGCACAAATGCAAACACATACACTCAGGTCTGATTAAGCTAAAGAATTATACTTTTCATTTTTAGAGTCTATTAACAGAACCAATGCATAGTAGCTCTCAACTTGCTCTTGGTCACTGGGAGAGCAATAGAGGAGAGACAAAATGAATTCTCAGGCACCCTTGTGGGTGGACATGAGACTATCTAAGTGAATTTGAGTGACAGGAGATCAAGCTTCACTAGTCAGATATTTGTATAAAGCCAAACCACAGTAGTAGTATCTTTCATTAAATATTTTCTGCCATTATACTGATGAAAGCTGTAGGTTGTGATATTTACAGATGGCATCATTACTATATCTAACCAGGTCTTTATTTTCAAAGTTTTTAATTAGAATGAAACCCATATTGGTTTTGTTCAGTTATCTACACTTGCAGCAAGCTATAAAATAAATACAAATCCTACCAGTATTGACAGTTACCAAGCAAACTCCACAGTATTTTCAACATATACAATGGTATATATTTGATTCTAGGACTTAAAGTTCACACCATCAAAAAGCCCCAATCTGTATATCCCGAAATAAAATCAGATTCAGGAGTCGGAGAAAGAGGTTTTGGCTGAAATTGATGCCAGTAAGGTCTGTATTGGAAGCAATATACATAGAGATAGTCAAGTAAGGATATACTCCTAGAATACGCTTTCAATTCTGATCCCACAACATGATACTTTCTAGGCAATATACTGAGAATTTTTAATCCCCTTAATTTTCATTTAAATGCAAAAATGATTAACTTCCAAATCTAACTCCTAATTTTAGTTGTTATAATATTGAAAGATTTCTCTGCCAGTGTATTAACTATCAGTGGTGCTCCTGAAGCACTAGGTCCTAAAACAAAAACTTTGTTACATGAAAAATCAGATGGTGATGATCAAAGCAGAGAGATTTTCACATGCTCAGATCTCTGTTACCCAAAGCTTTACCATGGCTCTTGGAAGAACTGAAAGTTTTCTGCTAATGTTATCTACCAGAAAGCTACCAGAAGTGGCAGCAGTCACTCGCACAGGAAACAACTGAGTGGCCTGAATAATGATGAATTCATACTAAAATGAACATAAAAATGAAAGCACTCCAGATGGCCTCAAACAATTCATATGATCAGACGGGAATGAAGAAAAAGAAAGGATCAGACAAGGAGTTCTTTAACATAACCTGCCATCCTTTTTTATATATCTCCATTGTCACAAATTGTCCTGTGAGCCTCTATAAGCCCACAACTGCTTTGAAACACTACTCCTCTAATCATTCTGCATTTCAGAAATATCATACTGGAAACATCTGCCTTGATAGCATCTACCTTCACTGAGCCACAGTTGATGGAAATGAAATAATAATTTGCTTTAACATTTGTGGAACCATCTCCAATTAGTGCTTTAACTCAAAATAGCACAGAAAAAAAGTTGTCAAAAGTCTTAGATTCTGAAAATAGAGTGCAACAAAACACACAAAAACCAACACAATAGCATGACAAAGACTTGTGGAGAATAATCCTTTACAACACTTCAGTCAACTTGTGTGTACTTTCCTTCTTTAATGCTGTGAAGTGTCATGGAACACTGATCATTTATTTGCTTTGCAAGGTACACGTAGTACCAAGCCCACAGTAAGTTTTAATTTCATTTGCTGATGTGCATAATATTTTAGGACTATTTTGACAATTTTTAAGGGCTGTTTCAAGTGGGTTGTTTCCTTAGAATTCAAAGTTTTATATACATCACACTTTTCATGTCTCAATAGGAGATGACAACTAATGCTACTTTTATTTCCTCCTTACCCATCCTGCCCTAACTTCTTTTTCATATGCATGTTTTTAAATGCACATGTTCATTGGGTAATAAACATCATAAACTTAGAGAAATCTTCTGAAAATAGGTACAGTGCAAAGATTCTATTCACTTAAAAAAAGGTCAAATTGTTTATAGTTCTACAAAATTAGTGCCAAAGGCATGTAAGAAATAACACGTTCAAATAGGTGATGTAACAGCAAGCATTAGCTTCTTCCATGAACAGTTAAAGAAGCAAGAAAATGGGTATTTCGTTTCCAGCTAACTGTGAGCACTGGACTGTGTGTCATTATTTCCCCTTCTGGGCTTTCATAAAGGTCCTTGTCTGAATTCTCTACCTAATCAAGTCCTTTATTCAGTTCTTTACTCTTTATTATCATCATTTAATTCTCAAAACTTGTATTAAAACCAGGATCAAAGGTTATTGGAGAAAGGGAAAAAGCACAATTAAATTTGCTTCACTTCCTAAGGAAAAAAGCTGACACTCCCGTAATACAAATTTGTCAACTAAGACAACTTTCTCAGCTTCTTCCATCAAATGTATTAGTTGTCTTTTTTTTTTTTTTTCAAGCTAGCAATGATCTAGAAAGTTTATTTCTTTACCAGCTCTAAAAATTACAACGAGGCAAAACAAGTAGTAAATAAATTCAGTTAAAAAGACTGACTCAAAACCAACATAGGTGCAATAAACTTGTACACCAGAATGGGGATTCTTTGGTCACCTCCAGTTACTTTTTTTGTTGTTTCACTACAGAGTTATTGACCAGAAAGTTTTCCCAGTTTAAATGCTACTAACACTGCAAAAGATCTTTTTCCTTTCAGCCTGTCCTCCATGTTGACAAGAAATGTTTCATTACAGCACAGAAGAGACTTTTACTTCTATAACACTCAACAAGTTCAAACAGCACTGAAATTTGAAAGGCAGTATTCTTACTGAGGTTCCAACTGTTCCTATCATTAAAAAAGGAACTGTTACAGGGAAGTTTTACATTTAAAAATCAGAGAACATTCTGCCTGGCTCATTTAATGTTATACAACTGATTCAGTTAAGCTATTTTTCTTGCTCTAGTTCAACATCAATGCAAACGTTTCTTTCAGATGAAGTTGTGTTGCTTTTTTAGAAGTTATATTGTAGGATCAAAAACAGTTCCAATAACTAATTTGAATACATCATTTATTTTAACATTTGATCTAAATGAAAACGCAATTCTAATTTTCATTTACTTATCAGCCGAATATCAAGTTAATCACTCTCTTCTAGTAAGCTAATCATTTACTATGTATGCTTTTAATATATCAATTTTAAACAACTTATTCCAACCTTTATTAAATTTGATGGACACAGGGATTACTCTATTAACATACCTAAAATTAAATACAAAGAAGGACACACATTACAAATATTACTATGTGTTGTCTTCTATTTCTAAACATATTCTTCTCAACAGCAAGCTTAAGATAAATATTAACACCAAACTCCGAAATTAATTCGACAGATTGTGAAAAAGGACTCCAGTTGATTAGAAAGCTTAAGTTTAGCTACATTTCTTCTACTTTTATGGACTGCTCAATTAAATCAAAATTGGAAACAAAACTAGCATTTTAGTAGTATTGGTGTAGTCAGAAGCCTTCTAAAAATAAGACAGAATCACTACCCACAAGGAAATGTAGTATTTTTTTTATGAATCCAGATGGTAAAGTTGAATAACCAAACAAGCTTCAGGAAACTTGGTCCCTGCATAAGGCAAACAACACCATTTGGAGATGTTTGACTGAGCAGTTTTTTCTAATTGATGTTCCATTAATTACTTTTAAAATCTTTCTCGTGGTCTTTCTCCTTTGCTTTACTACTTAGTCTTTGTGTTCTCTTTTTCTTTTTCTTCTTCAGTTTTTACACTATTTTCATTTCAACCCATGAGTTTTCTCACATTCACTCTTCCTTTCTTCTTCCCCTCTCCCACCAGTGATGGGAAAGGGAAGTGAGTGAACATCTGCTCAGTGCTGAACTGCCTACCAGGGTTAATCCACAAAGACCTTTTCTCTTCTGAACAGCTGCTCTTGACTGTTCTCTGTTTCTACCTAAAGGGAAGGTACAGAGAAGATGGAACCAGAGGATTCTTGAAGGTGGGTGGTAGTAAGACAAGAAGCAAAATACAAGACAACACTGAAGAAAGCCAGCTGTATATAAGGAAAACATTGTTGACCACAAAGGTGGCTGAATATTGAATGCAGTGCCACTGTCACAGCCTTCCTCAGCAGGAGGGTAGGTAGTTTACTACTACCCACCATAGAGCAGCATAATGGGAGGGTACAGATAAACAGCATACTAATCCAGAGATATTTTTATAGAAAAGCTGTACAGAGCAGTGTAGCAGTGGGGAGAAAGGCAGGATCACAAGAGACAATGTATGTAGGGCGTTTCTAAAAGGGAAATCTGTTGCAGAAGAAGAAATTGAGCTGGGAAAGGATCCAAGTAATAAAGATCAAGAGTGGCATATTAAAGAACTTGCAGCAGTAAAATGGAGGAATGTCTACAGACTTTTAAATCAAGGTCATTGCACAGAATTTTCTGAATTTGACTGCTTATTTTAAATAGTGAACTGAACAGAATTCACAGACACCAGTCTTCACTCATCCCAATGCCTCCATCTCCTTTCCCTCAGTTCTAATATGAATCCACACCTCTTACAGAGCAGTTTTGCAGGTTTCTATGTGTCTGCATATATACGTGTACATTTTACATATATATGCATATATGTGTGTATATGCACATGAACATGAACCCATAAAATATATGTACTTAGATACACATAGGGGTTTTTTACCCACAGGGTAGAACATGACATAACATGACACAGGCATATTAACTCTTTCAGCTGTGTACAGTTTTTGATACAGCAGAATAAATTTATCCAAGTTGTCAATGCCATTAAGTTAATAGGTCTTTTATGAACTCTTGGAAATTTAAATACTGAAACCTCGAGTTATCTCCAGGACTGTTTAATAAACACACCAGACTTGCATAAGAGACAAAACAGTCAGGTAGAAGATTTGGTCTGGCACAGAAGTGCCTGTTGCTCTTCACTGGGTATCGCATTTCCTTGCGGAAAAACACCTAATATTTATTTACAGAGATTACCACATTATTACTCACCAGTAAATAGCTGGTAACCTTTTACTTCTTCAGGACTCTCAAAAAACTCTAACGGAAGTAATTTAAACCTATTTTTTTTTTCTTTTTAATCTACTGACATAGTAGAGTCAATGCTCTAATACTTACCACAACTCCAAACTGTTCTGGCTCAGCAAGATCATTATACTCATCCTTTAATTCAGCTAAGGCATTGAGTTCTTTCTGCTCAGGAAGATTCTTCACTAGGTTCTAAAACAAACAAGGCATTATATTAAATTTGTTGTACTAAACTAGTTGAGATCTTAAAATAACATGCTTCAAATACCACAACATGGAAAAACACGAGGAAATTATGGGAAGCTTATTTTATTTAAGCAGCTTTAACACTATATAAATATCAAATCAAGTCAGTAATTAATACAGACATCAGCACCTCTGTTACAGTCTCCAATTTGAAGAATGTCTTTTCAGTATTAACAGGTTAGACAAAACTCCATGATACTGTCAGACCCTGAAGAATTACTCTCTTAACTACAATCTTTCTTTGCCCTCATGATTACATCTTGCTCGTTAAATATTAATCAAGAAATAACCAGTCTGTGTAAACTGTCTCAAGAAATAAAATATTTCAGACATTCAAAATAGCTGTGCACAAGGGTCACTTTAAAACACCTTATACAAAGAAATAGAATCATCTCAGAAGGGCACATATCTCCTAGATGGTAAATATACCGGAACTCAGCAACAAGTACAACTTGCTGCAAATTTTATCCACACCCCCAAAGAAAATTGTATGATTTACTAGATCATCTTAATATCTCAAAATACATCTATGTATGTATGGTACTACTAAAAAAAAAAAAAAAAAAAGTTTTGTTACTTTCAGCAACACCAGCCATTAAGTAAAACATTTCCAAATACATGCCTTTATTTTGGTTAGGTTCTTGGCACAAATTCTCCTCCCTTCCTATCAGAAAAGGTGTAGATGCACCCTGACACTATCAGAGAATCAATAATAACTGTTGAAGTTTATGTCACAGAAGAACTCTGATGTGAAAAAAGTTACATACCTTTCCAAGTCAGAAAAGCAACCAGTGCTACAGAAGCATATTTTTTCCAGATATAGATATCTTAATGGGAAAAAAGCTGTACTATTAGAGACACAGATGTCTTATTTTTAGACCAAGCCAATCTTGCAATATTCTTATTCGTTAGGAGAATGTGATTAGTGATCACTGCCAGGCTTGATGAAGTAGGCATTAAGGTACAGCTTTCAGAAAGGCATCAGTCTAATTTGTCAAATTTGCAAGTTATCTCTAATTGAATTCTCCAAGATGAAAAAAAATCTAACATTCACCCATCTTAACAAGGAAAAAAGACGACAAGCAGCCTCACAGAAAACCTCCTGTTACACAAAGATTTTTACACTTAGACTGAGGAGCTACTGAACGTCTCAGCAAGCAGAGTTCAATATACTTGACAGAGATAAGTATCAGATTCACCTTGATGTCACACAATTAAGCCTCGTGTTTAAACCTAAGCAGCCTTCCTTTCCTATTAACTCAAACCCACATCCCACAGATTTCTACATCATAAAAAAAAGGATCTGTAAAACATTCGTGCTCAGTTGATTGACTGTTTAATGCTAATAAAGGTCAAAAACATGAACTAAATAGCAAAGTTTTTTTAACCTGTTCTCATTAGGTAGACTATTTACCAAATGCTGTCATCCAAAATTTCATAGTATTTGTCAGAAACATCATTACACATTAATAAACTTACTGTAAAACATTGTTTTTTCCATCAATGCATAAATACAAGTATCTACTACTAAAACTGCATCTTTTCTTTAGCTACTTTAAATATATTAGCATAGTCCATCATTTCTTTTTCTTTAACCACATCTGGTTTATGGTCTAGAGCTAACAGATAAGCAATTTTATGCTAAGTTTATAAAAAGGAGTTTGGCTCTGCTAGCACTGCAGCTCCTTCTGTGTGTGTGTATACATGGATGCATTTAAATATGTTTACTTAATTGTATTGAACAAGTGAAAATGAAGCTGAAGCACCCAGTGATCACACACTCAGATCCTTGTCACTGTTTTAGGAAACAGTTTCACACTGTATTCATGATGATGTGGGTTTCAATAAAAATAGGGAAATAAAAAGTGGTTTACATAAACATAAAAAGCAGTAGAAATCTGAGGCTGACATGAAGAGGCTGAGACTATCACTCACAGTCACTGCAACAATGCTGAAACAACGGTGCCTGACAACTGTAAGAACGTAGTTTCTGAAAGACTCACTAGGAATTGAGAATATCTTTTCTTAGAGTATTTTCCGCAGTGAAGAGTCACAACACTGTACAGTCTACCATGTACTCAAACTGATTAATCCAATTAATTTTAGTAAGTATTAAAACCTAAGTTTGAAAAGCAGCAAGGAACAAGGACTTGAGAAGCGTAACTGAAAAAGCACTTTTCTATGTGCTCAGTTATGCCATACCCGTTTAACTCTCACCACTTTGATACTTAGAACAAAGCAGTTTCTACACGTGCATTTTTATAAAGTACCAGTTTTGCTAAGCATGAAGGAAGGCAAGGTTTGCTTTGTAAATTAGTTAATAACTCAGCTCAAAGATGAGAATAAAAATAAACCAGAATAGACTGCACATGAAATACGATGATACAGCCCATTTACCCCAACACAGCTGTAAGGATATCTTTAGAAACACAGAAGGAATCTCTTCTGGGTTAGCAGCTAAATCCCCCTGCTATTAGAAGCCACTCTGCCACACCATTCCCTGCAGAAACAGATCAGTCTCCAAAGCCTGTTTTTTTAAGATTGTAGGCAGATGAGTTTCTGAATAGTTGCATTAATTGTGAATTCATACACATGTACTCTGGTGTTAACATTGTCTTTTACTTGCACAACTTCATCTGTCTCCTCAGTGCTTATGCACCTTACCCTTTTCCCTCTGTAGTTATAATGCAGTCATATCCCTCTCAAGCTAATCAAGCCCATCTTCTCTGGCCTCCTTCTGTAGCCTGTTTCTCTATCCCTCAATCATCTTAAGTACTTTTTAAGTTCAGCTTCTCCATTTTACATTCATTTTTGAGAAATGTACTGAGTATATTAGATCAGGTCTTAGCAGTGCATTATTCAAAAGCATATTAGCCACTCTACTGGAAATACTTGACCTGCTACACCTTGCAACCACATCTGTCTTTTTTGTGGCATACTGGGTCTGCTTGGGATGAAGTTAACTTTCCCCACAACAGCCCATACAGTGCTGGTTTAACTTGTGGCCAAAACAGTGTTGACAACACACCAGTGTTTTGGTTAATATTGAACAGTGCCTGTGCAGCTAAATCTGATGAATGCTTGTCTTGGAAACTACCAGAGATTTCTTTTTGAAAGAGAAACTTTACATAAAGTGAGAAATTCCAAAGGACTTCTTCTCTTACCAATGTGTTTAAAGACACTTTTACTACTACATATGACCATATTCAAAAGCAGCAGTGAAACAAACAGAAGAGTAAACAACTGATAACACTTGTAGCTGATAATCAGAAAACTTACACTGTTTTTACTGTTTAATTTTCAGATCTTTACAGCATTTTTACATGGGGAAAGAGGTTATGAATAAAAGCAGTCATTTTCACATACCTGAATCAAGGATTCACTCAGCTTCTCTTCATCAACCTCTAAAATGATATTTTTTATTTCTTCATAAGGCAAACGGAAAGAACCCAAAAATATTGCTGAAATTCAGTAAAAAATAGTTAAAATCATATAGGTCAAGACTGATATAAGAAGGCAAGCCATTTCTAGCAACTGAAAATCATGTCTTGATGAAGTGTGAATGATATTTGTATTTTGTGAATCAATTAAGATGATTCAAAATTAAGAAGTTTTCTATATAAAATAAACACTAGATGAGATACACTTGCAGTTTGACTTATAATGAATTTAATTTCTAAAAAATGAAACTATGACAACACAGTTAACTGTTTAATTAGCCTCAGTTGCTCCCCAGCAGTGCTACTTCTCTCTAGCAATAAAGTCCCATTTTTATGAATGGCAACATCTGCATTACTACTTAGACTTATTCAACTACTAGAATACTTTATTTTTTTTCCTTTCATAACCATGTATGAATAGTTGTACTGCATTTAAAATTGCCTGTATGATATTTACATGACATTACAGAGAAAATTCCATGCCAAAAGGATAACAAAGAGCTGGGCAGAACCAAACAAACAAAAGAACCCACTACAAGAAACTCCCCCTCCCCTCCCCCCAACTCAACTATTTTATAGGGTAATTAAACTTATACAAGAAACCATGTGTATCACAAAACCTTCAAAGCTGGAGTTCTCAAAGTTATTTGATCGCATGATGTTGTAACATGTCAGCAGAGCCCCATTCAATTACCTACCAAGTATTCCTAACACAGAGAGATTAGCATGCCATTTTCAAGGGCTCTATACTCAAACTAACTACTATGGCTGATTTTCCTGCATCTATATTTTCAGAACCTGAAATTTTATATCATTTGTGCCATAGTTCATTTTCTGCTTAAGAAAACATGCTCATGGATGTGGTAATAAACAATGCACAGATTTGGTTTTACACACTTCATTTGCCACAGGCATAGTTGGGCTAGTGACATTTTATGGTATTTCTAATTCAATTTAAAAAATCTACTACTCTTAATGATTGATTTCACTCCATAATTAAAGAAAGAAGCAGCAAGATTAAAAAAAAGAGGTGGTGCTGTTTTCAATTTTACAATTTTTAGTAGTATCATTTGCACCTAAAGTATCCTATTTGATAATATTTTTCTCTTTACAAAGTCTATTTCTCCACTGCTCTAACCAGAAAGAATCATTAGTAATGGCCTCTCAACCCCAGCTCACAAAATCTACCAACACTGTGCCTTCCCTGAACCTGTGATTATCATTTAATAATACTTTCAGTCTGAAGCAATTAATGAAAGAACCAACCTTTTGTTACAAAAACACAGTTCATTAACATTTAAGTCGACATAAATTTACATGTTATTTTTTCAAGTTTTCCTCAAATTGTATAGTGAATTCAAATAGTATGTATGTGAAAAATTTCTGAACTTAAGACATTCAAATTAGCCAGTTTTTAGAAAAAGAATATTGCACATGTAAACAAAAAAAAAGAACACTTAAGAACAGTGACGTGTGTACATCCCAATTAGAAAATCATTTGATGCAGTTCACATTACTTACATAAATTCTGTGCGCTTTTTCCATCCAAAACTCTTAATTCTTTAATCTTTTTCTTTGACTGAACTGTTTTCTTCTCCTCTGATTCTTCTACTGGCTTTTTGGCTGGAAGGAATGTATTTATTAAATTCTGATTCATTATTACAACTGTTCAATCTTAACAGACTAATAGCAACTCAGCTAGAAAACCATAATAATGCATCTATTAGAATCAGTTCAAGGTAAAATGAATCCACTGCCTCAATGTACTGTAAAATATCCAGAGAAACAAAGCGAATTTACAAAATTAGGAGGAACACAAAATGAAAATGTTAATATGACAATGAGCAATTTTCCTAAGCTATCAATTTATATTTATGCATTTTAACGCACAAAATGTGTTACCTTCAGCTCCAGTTTATCCTAAGGACTTTGTAAGTGCCTTGGTATTACCTCAAAGCACACGAGTGCCCTCTGTTGAAATATTGCTAACTCAAGTACCATTTGAAGTTCTTAATCCAAACCAAATATCATAAAATATTTCAGATTAACCACACTGCACAAAGGTAGGGTTTTTAAATAATTGCTTATGTTGACACTAGTAAAGAGCAAAACCAAATTAGGAAATACTAGATATTTTAAATTGATGTATTTTTACTGACCAAGAATCACTAGTCTCATACTCAGTACTTAAAATTGTATAGAAAGTAATGTGGCATTGAAATACTTGAAATATATGTTGATTTTTTGCATAATTTAACATATTTAATTTCCACACAATTTTCTTAAGAATTGCCAACTCATTAAGAAGGATTTATTTCCTTTTAAATACTATGTAACATATTTGACACTGAAAGAATAGAAACTTATTGTGGTTAACACTAAAATTAATGAGCATTTTAAGTCGTTCAAAAGTAACTGAAAAACTTGAACAACAAATTAAGAGGAAGTTTTAAGCAGACTAAACATTCTTCTCTTCTTTGAGCACTGTTTGTTGCTGTACTAATTTCATCAGCGTGAGTTTTATTACAAGTATCTCCCAAGAAACCATGTTAATTTTTGTGTGTGTGTGTGAAGAATAACAACAAAACCTCAGTTTCAATCTCTTAAAAAGCACAGAACAAAGGACACGGTTATTTTTCTCCTTATACACATTACCACTAGGAAAACATCTGGCATAAAATAATTCTACTGGGTTTATAGCACTTGAATAATTAGTTTACCTTGGGCATTCTCATATCAGCATCAACTAAGCTAATACACAACAGCTTCCTCATCCCTAGCTACTTCTAAGAAGTCTGAGGCAGGAAAAGCTACACAGAAAGAACAAATTGACAGCAGTGCAATCCTTGCTCTCCCCCTTTGCCCTGCCATTATTCTGCAAGCTAACTACATAATGTAACCAGCTTGCTTTGTCAGAGGACAGAGCTACAAATCAACTTGATAATACACAGACAATACTTAAAATTCCTGCTAGTACTGACCCTTTAACTATAATGAGCTACCATTTAAAATAGTGAAGTGACACTGCATAAAATAATCACACCCTCATCACTAACTGTTCTCAATTAAACAAGGAAATAAAACCAGGTGCTCATTAAAACAAACAAAAAGCACACAAGAGTTAAAAATTAGTTGTTTCACGAGTAGACAATAAATATTTTGAGTTCATTTATTCAGACAGAAGCTACTGAAAAGCCTATATTTGTATTTGTTGAGACAGGTATAAAATGATTCCAGTAGGTATGACCTATTCCAAACTTCATCTATTTAAGAAGTAAACCCTCTAGATTTCTATGTATGATTGTGTCTTTAAAGTGTGGAACAACACACACCCTCACAACCTACTCACAGAGTACTGTATTTGTCACAGCAGTTGTGAACACTCAAGGCAAGCCTGTTCTGTAACCAGCTAATACACACACTCTGTAATATTTCAGTCCTCTGGCTTGCAAAACTACAGAGGTAACAAAAATATTAAGCAGTGAAAGGTAACAAGAGAAGCACACATTTCAGTACTAAAGGTCAGCCTATACAAAGGTGACTTTTTTCCTACAGTGGTAATTCATGTACACCTGACATGACACAGCAAGTGAGAGAAACACCTTTGTGAGCAAGAGTTTCAAGGGCAAAGGTGTTACATGAGCCCAACCCAAAACACATAATAAGTTACTCAGCTACTACACATACTAAGAAAGGCAAAGTGGTTGGGGGGGGTGGGGTGTCAGGTTTTAAGCATACAGTATTTTATAAAAAGAGGTACACAGGATGGGCTGAACCCAAATTCACAAGAGTAACTGTGCCCTTACAGGGGAAACCACCAGTTTTCACTATTACGCCCCCTCTCCTGTTCCCAGGTTGCACTCCTCCAGTGGCAGTGGGACCACTAACTACATTCAGAATATAAAAGATCAACTACTCACAAGTTTTATAACAAATCATGGCTGCTGTTGCCTGCTTAAGCCTGAAGGGCTGTAACACCATGACTTACAAATTAACTATTTTATAAATATTTAATGGTTGGGTTAGATGAAAACTTTTCAATTTGGAGAAGAATAGAGAAAAAGTCATTTCCAAGGGTTCCTAACTTTTCAAGCATGAGACTCCGAAGACTTTAAATTAGCTTAATGACAATTCACAAAAAACGAGGAGAAATACTAGAAACAGATGCCTGTATGATTGCATCAAAGTCACAATACAGCATCAACACCAATCCTAGCAGCCTAAGACTCACAGGCAGAGAGAACCACTTAATGCCTGTAGACTAGAACTTCTCCAACACAGTTTGACCCATGCTTGAGATAACATCATGCATGCTTGAGACATGCTTTTTGGTTTTATGCCACAGAACCAGAGGCCGAGATGAGAATTTTAGAGCAGTCAAGATAAGGTATCTCAAAAAAGTTAGATGAAAAGTCAATGTGGAAGCTAAAGAATCCATATTACTTCATACAGACCTTGAACTTCAGTGCTGTGATTATTCATTACAACACTTTGATAATGGTACTGGGTCACATGTTCTTTCTGAATCAGCTTTTTTTTAAAACTGACAAGTCTTACAGACAATACCTACAGCTACCGAGTCATACCCAGGATTTCCATTAGAAATATGGTCATATTTTAGGAAAAAAAAAAGGCACAGCAGGGGGGCAATTTCCCCATATTCTGACCACAACAGCTGGTTAGGCAATAAGACACTGAAGGAACAGGTCAGCTTTCCCACTCTGAAGCTTAATTCCACAGGATCCATCTCCTTACCCAACTCACTGCTGAGCTAGTCATCCACCTCAGAGTACTCTGCTTTGGTTTGCCTCTCATTTCAGAGCACACAAGCTTTTTTCCTCCTGAAATAAGGCTTCACCCAAATTCAGCCTTCCAAATTCATGGCTCACCCATTTCACCTCTCAGAAAATGCTCACTAATCAAGTTTATGCCAGTCCTCCACTGCACTAACGCCTTGGAACGATGGCAGAGTACTTCAGTAAGAGGTTAAGCCTACCCAGGCACTCTAGCAAGTCACTACAAAAGTGACGGCTATTTCTTTCACAAGTTCTCAGTAAGAAAGTCCAGAAGCCCAAGTACTGGGTCACCACAGGAAAGAAGCGTGGATACCAGCAGTTGAGACTCAAAAGGGCCTGACAGGTTGCCCTCTTACACTTCAGATCACTATGTCTGTGGTAACACAGAATGCTAATGCACTTGCTGTGTTGAGACAAAGCATTTTTAAATCCTCCACCCCACATCTCTGGTTTAATTCTTAATCTCTTTTCACACAAATTTATGTAGATTAATATTTGGACTTGCTGGGAATACATATATATATATACACACAGGCAGACGTGGGGATTTTTTGTTTCGAAGAAATGGAGAAAACTGTACTCTTGGTTATTATTTCCCCATTCAGTTGGGAAGAAGTAAGGAAGAAGCAAGTATAAAAAAGAAATCTCACAGCCCTTGACATCACAAAATACCCAGTAATGCATAGTTACCTTACCATAGTTTTGGTTATGTTTACTTGTCTTTACAGGAGAGGGAAAGGGAAAATGAGTCAATGTGATAAAGCAAAAGGCAAAAAGATAGTTTTAGCATATGCAAATGTCTTTTCAAAGGCCAGAAAATACAGCTCTAAACACCAACATTACATAACCTACTTATTTTTTTAATTTAGATTAGAGGTCCATTTTGTTTTTAACAACATGTTTATCAGCAGTGGAGGAAAAAAGCTGATGCAACATGCTGCAAGGGATTGTTTTCTGTTCAGCTTACATTATGTAACGCACGTGCAGCTCGTGGGTACCTTTAGTGATACCTTCAGCTGGGAAATAATTTAATCCCACAGAAAGTGCACTGCCTGAAACCCATTTAGGGTCCTAAGAAAAATGACAACACAAAACAAAATGTTATGTAAGTTAAAGACACATTAAACAAAATTCATGATAAGTGTGGCAAAGAACATACAGAACCACATGGAAATACTTCAGAGACATAATTTAGAAAAAATATTCTACCATCAATACTCCTGTACTACTGGAAGAAAAAGCAAGCATGCATGGCTCTTGAAAATTAACACTCTACACATGTTCATTAATTGTAGCTACTGAATGGCATTAAAAGTCATCATGACAAACACTTAGAAATACATACAATTTTATTTGATGCTATTGGAACTGTTAAAGCATTTTACTCAGAGCTGAAATGTCCAGTTCCTATTAAACTCTTCCTTTCTTTTTTTTTAAATAAGCAATGAATACTTCTAATAAAGAATTAACAGTAAAACCTGTCAGTCAGGAATTCAATGAGGATGAAAATTAAAGGGCAAGGAAAAGGAGTACATGGAATCACAGTGTGGAGAAAGCATAGACTGATGTGAACTTTAGTCTACCTGAACTTGAGCCTTAATATCCAGTTTCTAGGAAGTCTGCACCCACAGTGAACAAACATCCTTATATTGTCAAGGGAAATAAATGAGTAATTTCATCTTATTTCCATCTGGCAAGTGACTTACCAATTGCATTTACTAATACCTGGTACCAGAAGTAAACGCACAAAGGAAATTAATTGCTTTCTTATTCCCTTTACCTGAAAGAAGATCTAGAGGTAGTATAGGAGAAAAAAGAAATTAAGTG